GGCTTTCAAGAATCAATCAACCGAATACCAACAAAATTAGGCGCGCTACAAATACCAACGAGAACATATGTACAAATAAATAGCAAGGCCCTTCAAGAATACAGTGCGCTACAAATACCAACGAACGCAATTAGGACCTACAAAGTACAATTAGGGGTGGGCTTTCAAGAATCAATCATCAAGACATAAACAAATCGGTAGGCACCAACTCCTAATACAAGTATACGACATGTGGCCCGGCCCTATGCATCAAGCGAATACATGAATTGGCTTCCTGGGACACCAAACCTGAACAACACTTGATGTTTCCAGCAAAGGCTTGCTAATAAGTATGGAGACATGCTTGGAGGTTGGAAAAATAAAACTATATAATCATGCAGAGTTTACATAGTCGAACGGGCTTCATTGGTATTTTCTCAAGTATTAACGTGAGGTCTCGTATAGAGCTCTTAAGTCTCCTAGAAATATCGTGTGCACAATACTGGAAAAAATTTAAAAACTAAAATTCAAACCACAGTTTGCGAAACAAAAATAAGAAATCCAATGTACTGAATTTACAGCCTAATGTAGGTTAGCCACTATTTGTCCAGTGATTTGCCGTTTTTCTCTTTACAGCAATGTTTAAAGTTCTGAGTTAAATTTTACAGATTTTTTTTCAGAATTTTTATCAACTTCTAGACGATTGCACGGATGTCCAGGTAGTGGTTGCACATTCACGCTAGCTATGATCCAACAACCGACAGTGGGCTAAATTTCGTGTTTTGACCCTTTTCTGAAACCTATTCGAGATTTGACCCTAGTTTGAAAAAAAATCGAGATCTGACCCTTTTGCTACTGCCAGGGACTTTGAAGGTAGGGTATAACAGCCTACCGACATGCATGCCCTACCGCCAAAAACCTCCTAAGTATTGACCATAGTGCGTGCTCGTGCCTACCGCCAAGCACATTGGCGGTAGGGTTGTGCAGGCTATCGTCAGCCCGGTTGGCGGTAGCGATGTTTCCTACCGCCAAAGTCGACATAGACTCTGGCGGTAGCAAAAGGGTCAGATCTCGAAAAAAAATTCAAACTAGGGTCAAATCTCAAATAGGTTTCAGAAAAGGGTCAGAACACGAATGCCCCGACAGTGATCCCCACCACTCGGAGGCACAGAGCATCTTGTCAATTAACTACACTTGCGACATATACTCACATGTCCTTTGCTAATCAGCACGCATCTTAATTAGCTGGCCTCTCCACTCCACTGGTTACTGACGCTCCTTTGATCGATCAGCCATGGAGCTGCTGTCCAATGCCCTGGCGCACCGCTCCGTGCCGGACAGGTACGGATTCCCGCCTGACAAGGGCCCCGTCCTGCTCGCCCACGACCACAGCCCAGATGTCGCCTTCCCGGTCATCGACCTACACTACACGGCGGCGACATCTCCGTCTCCGACGGTCGCCGTCACCAGGTCGCCGCCGAGATCATCCGGGCCGGCAAGGAGTTCGGCTTCTTCCAAGTGGTGAACCACGGCGTGGAGGAGGGTGTGGTGCGGGGGTTCCGGGAGGCGGCGGCGGGGTTCTTCGCGATGCTGGCGGAGGACAAGCTCCCCTACTGCTCCTACGACATGAGCAAGCGCTTCCGGCTCGCCACCAGCACCTTCTACGACAGTGGCGAGACCCGGTACTGGCACGACTACATCAAGTTCCGCGGCTACCCGGCCTCCAACCAGAACGCGCGCCATTGGCCGTCCAAGCTGGTGAACTTCACGCCAAGCCTCGTCGAGTACTCTGCGGCGGTGCACGAGCTGGCCCAGACCATCCTCTGTCTGATCGCCGAGGGGCTGGGCCTCGACGGCACCTTCTTCACCGGCAACCTCAGCCGCGGCGACACGCACATGAGCATCAACTACTACCCGCCCTGCCCGGACCCAACCCTCACGATGGGCCTGCTCGCGCACTGCGACCGCCACCTCCTCACTGTGCTTTCCCAGGCTGACGTCGCTGGGCTCCAGGCAAGGCACGGTGAGAGGTGGCTCCTCGTCCACCCCATCCCCGGTGCATTCGTCGTCAACTTCGGGCACCAGATGGAGATCGTCACCAACAGGGTGCTGGCCAGCATGGAGCACCGCGCCGTCACCAACTCCGCTGCAGCGAGGATGTCGGTGGCCACGCACGTGCACCCCACAGACGGGTGCCGCATCAGACCGGCGTCAGAGATGGTGGACGAGGCGATGAATCCGGCCAGGTACAGGGAATTTGCTTTCAGAGAATTCATGGAGGCATATGACGCGGCCGACGCCAGCAGGGAGGAAGTGCTCCAGTCCTTCATGATCAACCATGACTAGCTTGATGATGAGTGACAAACTGCACGATATCTGCTGCTGCCATGCAGAGAGCACGAAATAAACAGAGAAGGGGAATAAAATTTTGGTTATTGTTGTGTGTAGGTTCTGTTTATTTGTGTTCGGATCAGTTTATGGATCTTAGAACCTCCTGAGTTTCTTTCTGTTGTTTGGGTCATCGGTTTATGGATCCTAGAACCTCCTGAGTTTGGAACTTTGTACCCCTAAATGTACCGTCTCCTTAATAAATTCAAAAGAGACTACATCCTGTAAAGCAATGAATGTTGATACTAATTTAATTTACCATCCCACAGTACAAAGTAATCAACTGATATTACCAGTAATTCCATCCAGGTGCCAAAGTAAACCACATTTTAGATTTTTATAATCAACCAAAAATACATCAGCTACAACAAAAACAGTTATGCGTGCATAGTATATAAATTTGATTTTGTGTTTCGAAGAAGAGTATCCATTGCAATGTAAACCTGGAAACACAACTCACCTCAAGTGCAGCATACATCAGGACACCTACTTCTTCAGTCAAGTGCAGTAAAAGACCGTTTGTAGAACCTGTTTACTCAGAGTTGAACATTAGAGACAAATATTATGCTCTACTATGGTTGTACAGGATCACTATGAACCTCCCTACCATTTGAGTAAGCTGAACCTTGGCTTCAAATACTGACATCACCAATTAAAATTCAGATAAAAAGTAAGGTCCTAGAACTCAACAAATTATGCATATTTAAGTGGAGGAAACTCCAAGCTTGTGTCCAGGGTTATCTATCTCCACGTTTAGATAAGTAAGATCATGCAAATAGCAAAACTCTGCTCTTCAAAGATACTGGACTCCAACCTTTCAGTACATTGGTAAAGCAGTCATCATATCATATATATGCCTTCTAAATCTTCCATGCTTCTAAATGAAGATTAAAATAGAATGATGCACACAGCATCGACACAATAATTATAAAAGAGAAAACTTCATGAAGGTTTTTCTGAAGTGCATGGATTAGCCAGTTCAGCTGTTAGGATGTTACATGGTTCACAAACCTATCGTCATGTATCCCATCTCCGTCTTTTGTACTGTCACCATCACCTACGCAGCGACGTTACTATGGCAGCAAGTAAAACAGTACTTTACTTCTGACAGTTATGTGCCTAGCTGTACCCCAATTAACCTGTATGGAAAACCAAAAGAAAAAAATGAGGGGCAAATTAAGCAACACCAGAGAACTTCGTTACCAAATCACAAACAGCGGCAATCTGACAACCAAAGCACAAGATCGCAGTAAAAATGAGCACTAACGAAGAATCTGTAAACAAGATGGTGAGCAGAAAACAGAACCACATAAAACAGAGGCAAAATATAACCATGACAATATCAATCTCCACATGACATGGTTTCGTAGTTTGCAAACTATCCCTCCGTTCCATAATAAGTATCGTGGTTTTAGATCAAACTAGCCCTGCTGTTACCATTTGCAGTTTATACACAAAAGAAGTAATTGCTGCAGTTGTCTCTTCATTTTCAGATCAAAGTAGCAGTGACTTCATGCGATTTAACAAGGAAATGTTTGATCCATTGATCTCCAGAAAATGATATATATTGGCAATGAACAGTGGAGGGGGTAGTTACCCTTCTTGCATCATTAGACACGGTCGAAACACATAATTACATCACTAAACACATCGATTTGCCACTTTTATGCTATAATGAACAGCAGGTCTAAGGTGTCAATGCCAAAACTGTTTTTGTGAGGGCATATGCCACATCAATTTCCCCTCAGCAAGCGGCCGCATAGTCTTCAGTAAGGTGTCAATGCCAAAACTGTTCTATTATATCCTGGAGGGCCGGCTCATATGACACATCAATTTGCTAAATTTATGTTATAGCCTGGAGGGCCGGCTAATATACCACATCAATTTGCCACTTTTATTTTATAATGAACAGCAGGTGTAAGGTGTCAATGCCATCACTAAACACATCATATGATCTAAGGAATGGCAACATCAACATATCAGGGTTCAGGAATATAATTATCAGTTTCATAGAAGTTAGCATTTACCAACGACCAAACTGGCATGTAACAGGCTTACAGGCATACTACAGAAAATAACCAACATCTAGTTTGGCAAAGAACACCAAAACAGGAAGTACCAGCTTAGTACAGAGTGAAAACTCTGTTGCACCATACACAAGTAACCAATTTTCTTAGCCCCTTTTTGGTTCAAGTAACACAGGACTATGATGGAACCTAAAAGCCAATCAAATGAAATGGAACATGCATGATAGAGAAATTTTGGCATGAAAGCAGATCATAGTGATACATTTATTTAGGTGGAAAACAACACAGTAGTATTCTTGGTTTTTCTGGTTATCATGATCTTACACAGAAGTCAGAGACGTAAATATATCCATGGACTTATCATTTTCAGGGATCTTCTATAAGGAATGACAACATCAACATATCCAGGTTCAAGAATAAAATTATCAGTTTGACAGGAGTTAGCATTCAGCAATGACCAAACTGGCATGTAACAGGCATACTACAGAAAATAACCAACATCTAGTTTGGCAAAGAACACCAAAACAGGAACTACCAGCTCACTACGGAGAGTGCAAATTTGTTGCGCCATACACAAGCAACCAATTTCCTTAGCCCTTTTTTGGTTCAAGTAAATCTGAAATTACTTGGCATTTCCCCTCTGCAAGCTGCCGCATAGTCTTCAGCGAGGTGTGGTGCAGATTCCTTGTAAGGGCATATACACTTCTTGATGAAATACTTCTCAGGCCTAGTGACTGCAGTATAGAAGCTCCAGTCGCGATCGAGCAATCTGTTTTCCTTGAGAAACTTTAGAACATAGCACCGGGGCTTGATCCGGCCCTCCAGGCTATAATAGAGGAATACCGGCCGATGAGCAATGTACCCCGGTTGCAAGCCCACCTCAGAGACAAGGAACTCGAACCTGCGCTGCAGGATGTCCTTTGACCTATTCAGCAACATTGGAGCCATAGACAAAGCAACGACCACCTCAGCATCCGACCAACCGAACGTCTTCTTCAGGTAGTCCACTTTGTTGGCGATCTTCTCCTCGCTGAGGAATGCGACAGCCTGTATCGCAACCTTGAACATCCCCGAGCCACGGGGCACGCCCAGACCTTCGGCGCGCGCCACCATTGCCTGGACGCGTTCCAGTTTGTTGCCGAGCAACCTCGGCTCAGAGATACACAGCTTGGTAATGTCGCAATCAGCTAGCCCGCATTCCCGCAGGAACATGACATTGGGCTTGACCACCTTGTCGAGGTCCGATGAGAGAAGGTAGCATGCGCGCTGGGACGCCCGGAGGAAGCTGTGGAAGGAGCCGAAGAGGGGCAGGTAGTACTCCAGCTTGGGGACTATGGATCTGCGGCGGAAGCGGCTGTGGACAAGCGAGACGAGGCGGGCGATCTCAGGGCGCGACAGGCCGAGGCCGGCGAGGCCGTCGACGACGGGGGCCAATGTTCTCTCCACGCCGGCGCAGAGGAAGAGCGGGTCTTTGGCGACGACGGCGGCGGCATCGGCGCCGGAGAGGCCGAGGCCGGCGAGGAAGGCGAGGACGGCGTCGGGCTTGGCGGGGGAGTTGAGGTGGGAGAGCTTCTTGGAGGCCTTGAGGGCTTGGGGCCGGGTGAGGCCGCAGGCGTCGACGAGGTAGTCCTCAACGGCGAATCCTTGGGTCGGGGAAATGGGGGCAGCGGCTGCCGCCGCAGAGAGGAGCCGGTGGAGTGGGGAGATGGCAGAGGTGGAGGAGGAGGAGAGGATATGGGACACGATGCGGTGCCGGAGATGGAGCATGGCGCAGGCGGCGGCGGCGGCGGCGGCGAGGAAGATATTTCCGATGGGAATTGCAAGGTTGCGACGGAAAGTGCGCGTCTTTGGCTCTGCCGATCTCTCTCGAGGGTCCTGGGGCCGAACAAGCATTATCGGAACCGGCATAGCACTAACATTTTTACTTTCTTGTTACCTATTAAATGATTGGTTTCTTTTACGCAAATGTTTTATTTTTAAAATCATTTTCTATATTTGAATTCCTAAAAACAAGATCTTTAGAACAAGACCAATGTTCAATATTTCTAAGCGTGGTTTGAATTTTTCCGTTTCATTCGCTTTGGCATTTCAAAAAAAAATGGAATTAACTCATTTGAAAAAACTCATTCCACTTTGTTTAAAAAACTGATTTCACAATTAAGAAAACAAATTTGAGTATTTCGAAAATGCAAATTTAACTCATTCTAAAATAGATTTAACCCATTTTGGAAAACTAATTTTATTCATTTTTAAAACATTGGTTTCACTCGTATCAAAACACATATTTAAGCCATTTCAAAGAACTGGTTTCGCTCATTTCGAAAAGGTGATTTCGCTAATTTCAAATAACTAAATTCACTCGTTTTGAAACATTGATCTCACTTATTCCAGAACACATACTTCACTCGTTTACAAAAACAATTTCACTTTGTTCAGAAAACAGATTACGCTCGTGTCAAAAAACAAATTTAACTCAACATTTGCCGGTATTGCCTGATGGTTATTAATATTTCCCTTGCGTTGTCCATCAGAGCCCTCGTCAAATCTTGAGCATTGTCAACGGTTTTAAGACAGACTAGATAGTTGCATTAATTCAAACTTACACCCCATCGATTGATCCAAGTTTCACATTAACAGAAACAACATCATCGCATTTATCATCTATATAATGCTAGACTGACATCATTCAAACACTCTGAATTTCTGTTTTGACGTGCACATATTGTAGCTTCAGCACTTCGAAATCATAGAGATCAGAACAGAAGCCCACGGAGCAGACAGTATCAGGATAGCAACAATTAATTTCAGCGATGCTTCCTGGGCTGGGCTGCATCATTCGCCTTGGTTCGACTGCTTCTGGCAAGGAAGACGTCAGTGCCAGTGTGACGCCACGAGTTTTGCTGCTCCTGCTGAGGGAGCATGGTCGAATTTTTTTGTTATGGTCTTGATGAAAAAATGAAGTAAATAGAATGAACCGAAGATACATGTTCAGTTTATTAACTGCAGTAGAATACAAGTAAAGAAGAACTGACTGTAAGAAACAAGCTGATTACTGAATGTGGATCAGTGTGGAGAAAGAACTGAATTTATATGTCAGATACTACTGGATGTGGATGCTCTTTTCTAACGCCAACATGCACACACTGATACATATATTATTGATTATTTAACAACAATGCCAAACAAGCCAAGCATTGATACCGATGAATCGGCTTATATACAAAAAGGAAAAACAAAACACCCGAGCTGAGGCACATTGGATATATGCATCATGACGGTATAGAATGCCTTCACAGTTCCTCCAGGGCTACCAGCTGCAGGAGATACGGTGTAGGCAGTGGCGAATCTAGCACGGAAATGAAAGGTAGGCTCAAAGCAAGTTCCTAGGTCTAATTAGTAATGCATTGTAATTATTGGATGTAAAACACCTTGGTATAAATGGCAAGTATAGTATATTTAGTTGAAATAGGATTTTTGGAGGGTAGGCTTCAGCCTATTGAAGCCCCCCTGGTAGAATCGCCACTGGGTGTAGGAATACATGATTGATTATATTACTGTTGCGTGGAGATGCCAAAGCCAAATCCAGTGCCTTGCAGTGCTTGTTGGACGATTGCATCGAGCCGTGCCGCCATCTCCGGCGTCATGGTGTTGATCCAGTCACCGGACACCCCCTTCCTGAAGAAGGAATGGTTCATCACGGGTCCGTCCTTCAACTTGTTGCCGCTCTGGTTCACCTCCAGCTTCTTTAGCTTGTCCAGGCTACAGAGCTCCAAGATGGCATCCATGACACCGGCTTTCTCCTCCGCCTCAGAGAAGGGGCACCCCAAAAACTCCGCCAGCCTCCTAAGATTACCATGCGGGTCTCGCAGCAGCTCCTCATACTTGAGGAACAGCACCTTGTCAGGCCTTCTCCGGCTCTCCTCCCAATGCTCGAGGGCGTGGCGCCAATAAGGGCCCGCGCCTGTGCGGCCCTCGCAGAACAAATCGAACACCTCCTCGAACTGGAGCTGCTCGGGGTTTGGGACGTAGGTGCGCATGAACCACCACCACGAGACGACCACGTCCTTGGGGTCCCGGCAGATGTAGACGATCCGGCACCCGCTGCCATCGCCGCTGATGTGCTCCGGCAGCAAGGACAAGGGGAAGTGGGTGCCGAAGATGCGCGGCGAAGGGTACGCCTCGACGATGCCCCGCGCAACGTCGACCGGTTGCCGATAGATTGCGTGGATGAATTCGACGCAGCCATGTGGGTTTTTGTGCAAGAGAGGGTGCTCGCGGCTGGACGGCGGGTGGACATCACGATGCACGGTGGCGAAGGCCAGTGATTTAAGCCAGGTGGTGCCGGACTTGGGGCAGCTCACCAGGAAGATGTCCGTTGGCTTGGGCTCGAAGTGGTCACGGACAGCCGCCAGGGCCGACAGGTGCCACTCCGGGAACCAGTACCCACGGTACTGTCGCCTCTGCGAGCCGGCGGGCGGCAGCAGTAACCGCTTCTCGACGGGCAGCGACTGGATGAGCTCAGTGAGGTTGTCAGCACCGTTCGTCGCCGGCAGCGCATCAGCGAGGCAGCTACGCTCGTGTTTTTTCTCTGCTACATGGGCCATCTTGTGCCTATTACAAACCGGTCGTAGGAGTAAGTGCAAGTGGATGTCTGATGAGCAGATATCAAGGAGCAAGCTAGGCATAAATACATCTAGCCGTGCAGTTGGTTGCGGGGTCTCTTTCATCCTTGTTAGTACAAACTACAAAGTGAAGGCATCTCTCCTTCTCATGTCGGGCGTGGGAATTTTCTATTACTAAATAGTTTGTCCCACTATCCAATTATATATGATGTGAATTACTTTAAAACATCTCAAACTTGCTCGCATGTGATTCAGCAGATTCACGGGGCCAAAATAAATGTGATTTGCTGCTTTTTATCTTGTACACCGAAGACAAGATAATATTGAAAATGCAGATTTCAAGGGGGTGGGTGTGGACCGAAGGGCCAAATGTCCGATCCGAGCCCGCAGCTACTGTATGGATGAACTTTTAAATTGACTAGAAATGATGTGGTGGCACAGAGATACAGCTAGCAGATCCTCAAAAAGAGATTCTTTGAAATGTGCATCCAATGCATACTTTTTGCGGCATATAACTCCCATTTTATTGGTAAAATTAATGATCAAAGTAAGGCCTAAGAATATGAAGTGGCCTTGTATTCAAAACGGTGGGAGTAATGTGAATTTGTATATCCTAAAACATTCTCGTTTGTATGCAGATTAAAATTTCCCAATTTAGTATCATCAAATTCTTTTTCCGAGAAGATTCATAGTTTGTAGGAATTAGTATAATTAAATTTCTCGGAAATGGTATAGTGGATTATTAGCTTTCCACTGAAAATCTGAATACGTGCAATATCGTGAAAATCACTGAATGCTTTCACTACAAAATCCCAGAATTAGTATAATGAAATTCTTAAATTTGTTAGAAGAGCCATAATTTCATAGAGTTTGCATAATGAGATTTCTTGGGATTACTATCATGCAATTTCTTAGTTTTCGACTTAAAATTTAATTTACAAATAATTAAATGCCATAACAATCATTGGATATTTATCTAAACTTACTAGAAATTAGTATCCTGAAATATTTGAAATTTCTGAACTTGGTAGAAAAACTAGAACTCATGATAAATGCATTTGTGGTTGATCAATAGTCTTTCTCAGTGTTTTTTCCCAAGCTTAAGATTAACCATTGTCTCATTCAAAACGTCAATCATAAACGCATTGTAGACATACCTGGTACATAGCTCCCAACTCAAGTAATCCGAAGTTGGAAAGAGTTCGTCATCTCAAACGGAGATAAAGATGGCAATTAGTACCTGCAGCTTATGAGGAGATAACAATCTCGATTTCAGTTTCAAGTTAGCCACTCAAAAGATATATAAACAACAGCTGATATCATAACTCTGAACAGTTTGTCTATCAGTTTGCAGTTCGGCACCGGCAAATATCAGCAGCAACCATTGTCCTGCTAAAAAATTCAACACAGTGCATCTTAGGAATTACATTTCAGTAGGCGGTACAAGACTACCTGACATGGCCGCAACCCTTGCATCTCATCAGCAAGTTCAGCAAGTGTCTTGGCGAAGCACTAAAACCAAACACGTAACAGCAACACCTGATGCATCCATCGAATCTTATGTGTGGTAAAAAATGCTAATCAACTGGAGCAAGTACCAAATTCGACGAGCATCCATTAAGGGCGATCAACATCAGGAGCACTCCAGGCCAAACAAATACATTGATCGAACAGAGTCCTGGCCGGCCGGAGACATGGTTAACTGATTATGAGCCACTCAAAGATACAAACAACAGTTGGTATCCTAAAAGTTAAGAACAGTGCATCTGTCCTTTTGGGGTTAGGTAACGACAGCAGCCGCTGTCCTAAAACAAATTCAGGACACCGCATCTTAACTAGGCATCACCTCATTTCAGTAGGCGGTACAGTAGGTTTTTTTTAATTATTTTTAGAAAAGGAGGATGACCACCGGCCTCTGCATCTGGGCGATGCATACAGCCACTTTATTAATTATTCTCATAAGACCTTACAAAGTCATACAACAGCAAGACTAAAGCCACCGTCTAAACAACAACTGTCGCTACACCTATCCAATTGATGAAGGGGCGCAGATAGTCTGGGCCTAATACCAAACAGACATCGCAGCCAAACCTAAACATCTAAGACATGAGGTCCCAACCAGGACGCCTGCTGAGTATGGGGCACCTCCCAGTCCGGCGCACTCCTCAACCAGGACGCCTGCCGGGTAGGAGGCCGCCGCAGCCATCTGCCACCAATCCATCTTCAGAGTTGTACTGTTGCATGTACCATGCCAGGTCTCTCTGCCATCGACGCCACCACGACGCCCAACAGCGTCGTCCTCCTCCGCGAGTCCATCCTCCCACAGCGAACTCCGAATCTGCACTGCGCCACGCCGTCAAGATCCGTCGCCATCAGTGTGTAGGATGAATCACCGCTCCACCAAAGAATCCGTCCTCTGGTCCCTCGATCACGTGTGTACCTCCAAGAATGACGCCCCCAAGGGAGGAACGACACCAGAGCGCCGCCGTCATCCGATCATCCGATCTAGGGTTTCCCCTGGAGGTAGCAGAGAGTGGCCTTGAACTTCTTCACGGCGATGCCTTCAAGAAGGGAACTACGCAGATAGCGCCGCCACCGCCGGCCTTAGCAGACGCCGAAGGCAAGTTTTCACCCAGATCCGTTCAAAGGGATCCAACTCTCGTGCACGGGCCGCCGTCACCACCAGCACCACCAGGGAGAATCCTAGAGCACCGGCAGATCAGCGAGCCGCCAGCACCACCGCATCCAGATCGCTGGCCACGCCGGGCCGCCGCCATCCCCCGCGCCGTCCGGGTCAGAGACGGAGCCGCCGACTGCGCACAGGGACCACTGCCGCCTGCACACGCCGGAGCGTCGCCGAGAGCCCAGCGCCCGCCACCGCTTGCCGAGGGCCGCCGCCACGCACAACCAGCCAGCCGACCACCTCCGGCGGAGGAGGCCACCACAGCCACACTCGGGGCCGGAGACCCCGGCTTCCTCGTGCTGCGGGACTAGCCCAGGAAGCCGCAAACTGACGTTGGAGACCTAGATCGGGCGCGTCCACCGCCGCCGCCACCCGCTGCCCTTGACCGTCCGCCATCGCAGTTGCAGATCCTGGCCGCCGCGTCCCCGCGACGCTGCCGTTGAACGGACGGTGCGGAACGCCGCCGCCTCGATCCGATCTATGGCCGAGGAGATCCACCGCCGCTGCCACGCCACACGGGCTTTGCCCGGCGACGCCTCCGGCAGCGGCGGCGGGAGGGAGGAGCTTGGTGTGGAGGACGCCTTGAGCCGGCCGGCGGGGGCTGCCCAGGTGCGACCCGGCGTGGCCGCACGGGAGCAGGGGTCAGGCCTTTTTTCTTCTCGCGAGATCCGGTCGAGGAGGATTGTTTGCTAAGACGTGTTAATCCCCTCTCGGTTTGGTGGATGGCCTCCTCAGTTTTCTGGTTAATAAATTTTTAGCAGGCGATATCATTTGGCCAGGTAGCATAGGGCCACTCAAGGAATGTTCTTCACCACTTGCTCCTGGGCTGCATCATCCACCTTGGATCAACTGCTTCTGGCACGGAAAATATCAGTGCCAATATGCCAGATGATGATGCCTAGAATGCCCCAAGCTTTGCTGCTTCTGCTGAGGGAGCATGCAATCGCTCTTTTTTTTTGCAACAATCTATCATATTTTCCTTTTTTTTATTTCATATTCCCTCCGTCCCAAAATAAGTGTCTTAGTTTTGTACTAACTTTAGAATAAAGTTGTACTGAAGTTGAGACACTTATTTTGGGACGGAGGAAGTATAACATACCATGGTCGAAATCTGTAGTTAGTCTTGACAGAAATATTAAGTAAATAGAATGAACTGAAGATACAATTTTAAGTTATTAACTGCAATCTTCGGTGCTACCTTCTTTTTTCCAAGGGATGGGGTTGATAACTAAAGCAGAACTAGCTGCAAGAAACAAGCTGAATATTGGATGTGAATCAGTGTGGAGAAAGAACTGAATTTAAATGTTAGATACTACTGGATGTGGATACTCTTTTCTTTTGCAACATGTAGATACTTAAATCTTGGTAGCTGGAATGTATAAACTATATAAACATAAACAGCTGTGCCACAACACAATGCTGGTTTCTGCAAGGGCACGCCTAATAGCACCAGGCAGAGGGACATGTCTGCACCTAAACAAATGTGTAGCCAGAACACAAAACTGAATTTATATACAACAGAATCATGGGGGGGCTAGTATATAATAATAACTTAATTTTGTGTTCCAAGAAAAGTGGTCATTGCAATGTTAACCAAAATCACATATGCAATTTTGACCTGACGCATCAATCGAAACACCCACTTCTTCAAACAGAAACTAATGTTTAATAGTCTGAACTGATCATTAGAAACCTCAAACCACTTGCAGCATCCATCATTTGAAAGTCATAAAAATATACTCATGCTTAATGTGGTAATTCAGAATCACCATATTATGCTTCAGTGCAACAGAAAATTTAAATCAGACTAACTTGTTTTTCTTTTACTGAGAGATAGTTAGTTGTAACTTCTGCATAAACATGATTCTGATCCCCGTTAAAAATACTCCCTCCGTCCCAAATAAGTGTCTCTAAAGTTGAGACACTTATTTTGGGACGGAGGGAGTATCAAGCTATCTTAACTATTAATTTTGCTCAAGTAAAACTCTTTTAAGAAAAGTTTATGAATCTTAACAGCAGGGTGATTTTTTCGTACCGATACCCATCTTATCTGAATATGTACTATTCATCACCTAGGTATATATTCTGTGTTCGCTGAATATATACTATTTCTCATCTTGTCGGTCATCAGCTGCAGTTTGCAGCTTTTAGAGAATACAAGTAGTTGCTGCAATTTTCTCTTCTTTTTCAGATCGAAATGGCTGTGATCTTTCATGTGTTCAAACAGGAAAAATGTTTGTATATAATGGTATGGTAACAGCTGCGGGGTTAAACACAGCCAGAACACATATACATCACAAAATCACAACAATTTGCCACTCTTTAGGTTATAGAATGGGCAACCAGTAGAAGGTCTCGGTGTATCTTAAGTCTAACCTAAATATAAAACAATGTTAGTACTAATTGACATACAGTAGAACCT